GCGCTATGCTGTGATGCGACCCTCGTCGCGCCTCTCGCACGCGATGGTGAGCCTTACCCCGGCGCGGCCGCCAGGACGGAGCTGTTCTGCGCACCGCCTACCGGCGCAAGCATGCCACCTACCCTGAGCTCGCGACAGGTGGCGCACAAGCCCTCTGCGTGCTCGGATGCGAAGTGGGCGGCCGCTGGAATGCTGACGCAGTGAAGCTGGTCCAACGCCTAGTCGCCCTCCGCGCGCACCGAGCCNNGCGAAGGCTGCCTGGGCCCGCCGTTGGTGGAGCGTTCTCTCCGTAGCGGTTCAGCAGGCCGTTGCTCACACGGCGCTAGGACGTGCCCGGGCCATGCCGGGACCAGCACATACCGATGCGCCGGCCCTCGATGAAGTCCTTCACCTCGCTGACCCAGACGGGCCGAGCCGCCTGCCGCTGCGCTGAGCCGGCCCTAACACGGGACCGTGCTTTTGCTAGGATCGGGACCCTGCAGCTGACGAAAAACAAAACCATAATAGTCAAGCAGCGCGGGAAAAATCGATTTCACCGAGTGTTCTCAAAACATGCCACCCAAGACCAGTTTTCCAGCTCTAAAAATTCATTTGCGCAATTTTCGGCTAATGTTGAAAGTCGGCGGGCGCTGGGCTGAGGAAGCCGCCACTTTCATCCGCCTTCTTTGCGCGTGCCGCCAGTGCGCCAGCAGCTGTCCGCAGCTCGGCCCAGGCAGCGTGGGTGCTGCCCTGGAGTGGCCTCATCCCCGTCGCGGCGCAGCCCGCGCTTGCAACCACCTTCCTCGAACGTCCCCTGTTGGTCACAGCTCAAGCACGTGCAACTACACACAGCTTCGACAGAGCAAATCTTTTTTCCGGTCTCTTGAGCCAAGGCATTGCCGAGGCAAGTCTCAAAGAGGCATGTCTGATGCAATCACTCTTGAGTGAGTTTGTGATGACATGTGAGGCACATTACGTGAGCACGTACTTAAACTGCCCACACAACGCTGCCATGCCGAGCATGGCATCCACTGGAAAATGAAAATCAAAGTGTACAAACGTGTGTCTGCACTGTCGAGACTGCCAGTATCCGTTAGGACTGAAAACTGTACAGGGGTGCTTCGCAGGTTACCGCTCACAAACTGGTTTCACAGCGCGAGTCAGCAGCCTAGAAAACTTATGAGGTTCGTACATCGCTGAAAATCACGAAATCAGCAGTGAGATCATGCGGAAAAGCAAGCAATACATGCGCACGATCATGAAAAATGGAATCAACGGTCAATCACTTGCTCCAAGCCATGCTCCAACATGTTGAAAAAGTCAGTGCATGCAAATCTCAACCATGCGGATAGACTCCCAAAAGCCGTGAGAAATGCTGGAACTTGTTCTTCTCCAATGCTTTCGCCATGACATCAGCGAGAATATCGTCGGTGCTGGTTTTCTTGATGTTGTTGTCGGGATCAAGGCTGACATCATGCAACCATGACAATGGCACTCCTTGTGTTCGCTTCATGTCCTTTAGCACCCCGTACGCGTCATCGATTGCCGCAATGCCAGTTGCTGAACCGGTCATGATGTCTACTGGAATTCGATATCCCAACAAAAATTCGAAAAGATCTTGTGCATAGATGCCGTGGCGCTTGAGACCTTCAGCCATGGCTGTCACTTCGGCATCCGGTGCCGATAATGCGGTTGCACCTTGTCGATGCGAACGCCAAGCAAATGTTGCACGAGTGCCGTGCGACCCAACAAGCTGCAAAACAGCTCCCGACGTCGATCGCCTGGTGTCCGGATCCGTCGCCCAGTCAGAGTCAACCCACAGTACTAGTCGCAGAGTGCGTTGCTGCACATCAACAGGATTGAGAACCAAACGAAGTGCGGAGGTTTGAGTCGCCGCTAAATACCCCATCAAACGATGCAAAGCCGCATCCTGTCTTTTCGTCCATTTTGTGGTGTACCGACCTAACCACCCGACGGCAAACGAGATCTCTGGACGACTGTTCCTGGCTATCCACAATCCGGCCCCCACATATGTCCCGCAATTTGATGCAAACGGACCTGTTTCGCTCATACTTGAAACGTCACTGGCTGCCAACTTTACAGCCGGTGTGTCGTATCGGGGAAGTCTGTAAGCACCAATTTCATCCATGTACTTTCGCGTGAGCGTGTCGATGTATGCGTCTTGATTCACAAGACATGTGGCGACATCAGCATGATCACGTGACAGGATCTCCTCGGAACCTACAAATCGGCTGACAGGTTGAGGCGGGTCTGCGAAATCGAAGCACTCGAAAATCTCAGCCCAAGCAAGTGGTAGTACTGGCTTGTGTCCCGCCAGCTTGAAATCATCGACGAAACGGCCCATGCCCACAATGTGCCCGTTATATTCCTTCTTGAAAATCGGACGTTCAATGTCACGAGCCTGCAACCAATCCTTAAGCAACAACCGGTCGTCAGCATGATCTTCCCAATCGCTGTTTGAACGTGTGAGCCCGTAGATGGCCATGTACAACAGGTGCACAGGACATCGCATTTGCAATTCGGATTGTGTGCGAAATTCTCTCGGCAAGCAAATGACATTCGGACGACCCTTGAGTCGAGCTTGCAAATACGCACCATCAGCGTCAGCAGTTTGACAATCACCGCCGGGTTGCAGACCAGCATAGCAATCTAGCGCCCGCGATCCTTCAAGCGTGATGGGTCGACCGTGCAACTGGTCTTCCTCCACAAGCCGGCCGTAAATGTCACGCACGTTGTCGCCGAGTGCCACTATGCAAGCTTTGAATCGGTGCTGGGACTGGTCGAGTTCGTAGTGCTTGATCCCTAAAATGAGGTTTTCCTGCACGTACTCGACATCAGGGCCGTACTTCGCCACGGCGGTTTCCCACTCACACGCGTCAGACTCCCAAGTCCGCTTCGAAGAGTGGTTTGCAGCCTCTTAGCGGATAGCCTCACGCGCAGCGTTTGTGTCCCACTCGGGATCCCTTCGTTTGACGATCTTTGTGACACAAGCGAACATCTTCCCCAGCTCAGTCGTCAGCTTGTCCAGCTCCTGCTCAAGTCTAAGTGCTGCAGGCGTTGTGAGAACCGTGCCACCCCGAACAACTGTGCTGAGTCCAGATCGATCGCTTTCAAACGTCATTGTCGAGGAGACAGCAGCATTGTCGCGATCAGGGTTTGGTTGCTGCGATCTCTCGGAATCCGCGTCCGAACTGTGTGTGCCGTCTGGCCGTAATTCTGTGTTGGTTATTGGACCTGAATCGCTCCGAATCCGCATCTGATGGATGTGACGCAACATGTGATCGAGATGAACTTGAGACGGGATTTTGCGCACCTGCTGGGCCTTGCGAGGCGCGCTCCGAATCTGCATCCGATGGATGCGACCCGCGGTGGGATCGCGATCGCCCAGATGAAGATGCAAGATCGTCGGCAAGTCGATCTGACATGGGTGTTGATGGCGCTACATCAGGGCGTGGTGGTACTAGGCCACTATCCATGCCGTTGTCGAAGTGAGGGCCATAGTTGTGTCCAGGAGGCGCCTGTGTATCAGCGAACAAATCCACCCGCCAGCGAGGTCTGAGTAGCGAGGTATCGGTAGGGCGACGTCCATCACCTTCATCGTCAGGGGGTGGACCCATGTCGTCATCATCGTGTATGTCATCTGATGGCGAAAACCTGGAGCTGGACGAATCCATGGAGGAGTCGATGACGCCCCCATCACGGCTGTGCGGAGGGCTCGGGGAGTAGTCCATGCTCGTCTCGTGCGAGCCCGGAAGGGGCGAATTGTGCTGCACGTCAAGAAACGAATGACCGCCACACCGAGCACGAAGGCAGCCGGGACCATCCACATGCCGACGACGACCACCACCAAGCAAACAGCCACGACAGTGGACCTCCGCATCAGTGGCCCACAATCCACAAAGCATACAGCGGCCGTCATCACCAGCAACGGGCGTTTGCTGCAACACCTCCGGTTCGAACAAACGTTGGGCCCAATGTGCCGCGTCAGGATTGTCCATGCCCAGCTTGTGAAATGGCCAGCGCAACTGAGGGGGGAAGCACACATCACGTGTGTGCACAATTCGGGCTTCGCCCTTTGTTTCGACATAGTGTTCGAAATCCAGGACGTAATAGGACTGCAAGCGGCTATAACCCAACACCACACCAAGCCTTCCGCGAGATGCAAACTTCGCATGCTCCTCAGAAAGGAAATAGCAAGCAGAGCCGAATGGACGCAACTTGCTCAAATCGTAGGAGCGGTTGAAGCGGAGCTGGTAAGGTGACTCGACACCACCTGCACCAGGGCTGCGCGCATACACAAAGAGGAAGGCCATGAGACAGAACGTCCAGAAAGCATAAGGCACCCCAGATGCAATAAATAAGCAAGCCATGCCTTCTGCAACTGTCCGGTGGAAACGCTCAGCACGGGAGTTCGTCTGCGGCCGACGTGGCAATGAGCGCTCATGTCTAATTTTCCGTTCTTTGAGCTTTGCGGCAAACTCGCCCTGGAATTCACCACCGTTGTTCGTCCGGACTGATGACACCGATTGGTTCCCGTACATGTCGGCTTCGGAAGCCTGCTTGGTGCGCAAAGCACGTGCTGCCGGGTATCCCGTAGCATCATCATGCGTAATCATGGCATACGCCTCGTCATTGATGTTCGGGCGCGTAGGACCAACGAGATCACAGTGGATGCGTTCCCCGTGTACGCGGGCTGTTTGCTTGTCATCTTCCACAGACTGCTTCTTGCGGGACGCTGGAGCGCGGCACATCTTTGCCTGCAAGCACGCTTCGCAGGTGGGGTCCTTCGGGAAGTGAGCCAAGCAATGTTGATCTGCAGGTGGCGACCGTGTTGCCAACGCCAGAGGAGTCGGAAGGCCAATGAGTTCCGCCCCACCAAGGGTCAGGCAGAACTCCTACATGTGGCTCAAGCCATTTTGGCTCAAG